AAAAAAAAAAAAAAAAAAAAAAAACTGCCTAACATTGTGAGCCTTCAGTTTGATCCCCAGAGCTACAAAACAAACAAAAGCAAACACACAAACAAGTAAGAGAGAAGAATCCAGCCAAGATGTTGGAGAATACTAAAAGCTGAAGAGACTGGAGGTTTAAATGTTCCGCTAAATATAATTATTTGATGATAGTTACTAAAACAAAACAACAACAACAAAAACTCTACAAAGTTAAACAGCACAGAACAGAACAGAAGCCTCCTCTTTAAATACTAGAATTGCTTTTTATTAAGAAAAGAGGGCCGGGCGGTGGTGGCGCACGCCTTTGATCCCAGCACTCGGGAGGCAGAGGCAGGCGGATCTCTGTGAGTTCAAGGCCAGCCGGGTCTACAGAGCAAGTTCCAGGACAGGAACGAAAACTACACAGAGAAACCCTGTCTCAAAAAAGACAAAACAAAACGAACAGAAAAGCAAAGAGGCTAATGGCCAACAGGATGGCTCTGTGGGTAAAGGTACTCAGCCATCAAGCCTGCTGATCTCAGGCCCCATGGAGGAAGAGAGCAGACTCCTATAGGTTGTCCTCTGACCCCCACACTCTGCCGGCACACCCACACACATACAGAGAAACACACACCAGCGACCACGAAGGTCACTTTCACATCCCCACACAGTGTAGCCCCACTAGTTTCTACAGCTTGACAGGCAATGTTCTTCGAGAGAATCAACAAAAGACTCCATTAAACGCACTGTACATTACCTGCTGTCTTTACAACAGAGACCACAACTCCTACAAGGTCCACTTCAGAACAAGGAGGCCGAAAGGCCGGCTCTAACAGTCTGCTGAAGTGAAGGGGCTCCCTGGGCTGGTAAACCTGGGCTAAGGTTTCACTGGCAGCCTGCGGGAAACAGAACGGACAGTCAGCGTGCCGAGACTCCGGGAAGGGCTATGCATTTATCAAAACGGAAGGAGAGGTACAGACCGGTAGCTGCTGATACTGAGTTCTTTTCGTAGCTGTTAACTGGATGCTAAGTCGTTCAAATTTACTCCTAGATTTCGATACTGCAAGATGATAAATTCTGTATCTCTTTCCTTCTGTTAACAGGGACTGTAGGTCTGATGACGGACGCCAGATACTCAACAGAGCTGTTCAGAGAGAGAGAGAGGACATGACAGGCACACTGGTGACCATTTGCTGAAGCATTTGGTGAAGACCCAAGGGTTCTCCTGCTCTGTGGGTGCTCACAGCCCATTTTACTCACTTGATACACGTGAATTTATATTTCACTTGCCATTTGTAGGCCTTTTTTTGATTTTTCAAGCCATGGTTTCTTTGTGTAGTCTTGAATGTCTGTAGCCCAGGCTGGCCTCGAACTCACAGAGATCCACCTGCCTTTGCCTCCTGAGTGCCGGGATGAAAGGTGTGCGCCACCACCCAGCATAAGCTCACTTTTTAACTTAACAAAACTGATCAAACAAAACAAAACACGAACTTTGCACACTCACATGATTTTTCCTCTCCCTCGTAGCTTGTCACACGCAGCTTCCACACAGGTGTAACATCCCTTGATAGGCCCTCCTCTTGCTCAGCGGCCTCCAAGGCCTTCTGGAACTCGGACTGGATCTGTGCTTGTTTCTTATCGTTCAACATTTGTCTGTGGTTGTTCAAGGTTCTCAGCTGCTCTTCACTGAAACAACCCTGTGACCATTGAAAACATCAGGGGTAGCCACAATGGCAATCCTGCCTCCCCCAACTGGGCTGCCTTATATGAGAAGCAACAGACCTGACCCAGCTGAAGGTGTGTGCCAACTCTTCATTTGATCACACCAGGCTCTTAGGGACCTCACACTACCTGTGCCCTTGTGACAGACCCCGAACACTTAGTGGTCTTTAACCACTAAGTGGCACACCTACACTTCAAATGGCTGGGTGCTGGGGACCAATTTGGGTCCTCTATAAGGCTCTGAGCATTCTTAACCACTAAGCCATCTCTCCAGACAGAATTTTGCTGTGTCTCCCAGGCACATATCTTGCCAGCCTGCCTTTCGGTCCCCAGAGTTCTTGGAACACAAACATGTGCCACACAGCTGGCTAAAATATGTGTGTGTGTGTGTGTGTGTGTGTGTGTGTGTGTGTGTGTGTGTGTTTATTTTGGGTGTGTACAGGTCAGAGGAAAACTGGCAGGAGTTGATTCTCTCCTCCCGCCACATGGGTCCCAGGGACTGCACCCAGGCTGTCGGGTTGGCGGCAGGAGCCTTTGCCCTCTGAGCCTCTCTCTGGCCTTCTGCCTGGCATTTTAAACCATGTTGTTTTAATATATGAAACTCATAAAACTTTTTATTCTCATTTAATACAGAATCAGAAACTTGCCACAGGAGTCATCCGGAAAGGTGATGTAGCAGCATGTCAACATGGCCTTGCTGTAACGGCCAGCGTGAGCACAGTTTCCCAGGGCTGGGGACTGAAGCCAGTCCCCGGCCCTTCCTCACCTCAAGGTGCTCCGGGTCTGCTGCGCTCTGCACTGCTGCATAGAGCTCCGCCCCGTCCTGCAGAGCGTGGACCTGCTGCCTGGTGAGTGCACGGGATGGCACACGCTGCTGGGCTCTGTCTTCTGGGAGGAAGGAAGCAGCTTTGACTGGCTAAACCCAGACCTTAGGAGCGAAACTACAAAGTCAAGCAAAAACACCCAGAGAGAGAGAACAGGTAATCAACGGCCACCAAGAGCGGCGGGAAGGCCCAGCCGGTGATGGTACCCGTTACCAAGCCTGCCAACCTGGTCCGATCCCCAGAGCCCACGAGGCAGAGAGAGCTGACCGTAAGCTGTCCCTTACTTCTTCTGGACACGTGCGTGACATGCATACACAATCAATGTGACACGTGTGTGACATGCACACACAATCAATGGATGAATGGAATAAAAAAATACTTTAAAAACCACCTATCCACTAAAAGTTTCCTTGTTAAAAAAAGAGAGAGAGAGAGAAAAGAAACTGGCGCATTCTCGGTTACAACGTCATGCACAGGGGTTTATGGAAATAGATTAATTTGTAACTTGTAATTTAAATAACTTGTGTCTCATATTGATTTACTTATTCAGGAAAACAGTATAATCTGG